CATTTTCAAATCTTAACTGAACAAACTGAAGAGAGAAACTGATTGGTTGCCATGCACAGCTGCTCCAGATTTTCACTGATCCAGTTTTGATAAATTCACTCCCAATGTAAATAGACTTGTTATCAGTGGCGGAACTACCGCCGGTGCAGGCGGTGCGGGCGCCCGGGGCCTCAGGCTCTGGAGGGGCAGGGGGGGGGCCCAAAAAAAAATCTTGCACCAGGTCCCTTTGTTCCTTAGCTCCGCCACTGCTTGTTATACTTAAAGACCAACTGACAGTTAAAGGACAGGCTAATTTTCAGAGATTTCATAGACAAATCTGATTTTAAAAAGACCAATTAACTTTGTTTTGAGTATAGATTTTAAAGAGCTATATGTGTGTACTAGAGGGCAGCCATATATCCCACTGAATACATATGCTATGCTTCTTGTATAGAATCAGCAGATAGATTGTGCTTTACTGCTCCTCTAATCTTAGTACAGGTTTAAAGTGGACATTTGGGCAAAATCAAAAAAACATATATAATGCAGCTTTTGTTTTTCTAAGTCCATCTATAATGGTTTTATTACCTGTTGATCCTACCAGCAGATCTGTTATTTTTCCACATTATTTATCAAGCCAAGCTGTCTAGCAAATGTGCCAGTTATAGGATTTGGGGCACGCCATATAACACTGACAGGGGTGCTTACAATGGTCTGTTATGTTCACAAAGAAAAAAATGTCAGTTGCTGTACTTAAAAGGTGTTATGCTGGGCACACACCTTACAACCATCGCAAGACTTTTGTCTTGCGATGGTTGTAAGGTACTTTAAAAAACGTACGATCTGCCTATCTTGGACAGGCAGATCGTACTTGCGATGATCGCAAGCCACGCCCAGCTGAGGGGCGTGTTTCCGATGACCGCAATGCCGAACGGGCAGTGTGCGCTTGCGCACACCGGCCCGTCCGGCCTTGATCTTACAAACATGCTACACACCCGCCGAACATCGTACGATGCTCGGTGGGTTTTCAAACATGTTCGTAAGTTAAAAGTCGTGTGACCTTACAGTAGTAGAGGTCGCACGGCTTCCACACACCTTACGATAACTGTACGATCGCGGGTGTGTGGGCACCCTTAGTTGTAGTTGGGCTTGAATTTGTATCTTAATTACATTGAGGGGAATTTATCAAAACTGGAGCAGACAAAATCTGGAGCAGCTGTGCATGGCAACCAATCAGCTACTCTCTTTCATTTTCAAATCTTAACTGAACAAACTGAAGAGAGAAGCTGATTGGTTGCCATGCACAGCTGCTCCAGATTTTCACTGATCCAGTTTTGATAAATTCACTCCCAATGAATATAGACTTGTTATACTTAAAGGCCAACTGAACATTTTACAATCGGCCAAACTCTTTCCAAATGCAGCAAAAACAAAAAGGAGTGCAAAGTTAGTTTTCTTTAAAAAGCAGCCACAGCCATCCCTTGCCAGCAAGCTACAGAGAAGGACCCCTGCACTCTGTGTGGAAGCAGTGGTCTCTCTGCAGAGGTTCGATTCACCCCTTGCTGAGTCAGAGATTCAACTCTTCAGTCAACAGGAATCATGAGCTATATTAATTGCAGAGCTATAGCTCTGACTCAGCAGGGGGGGATATCAGCCTCTGCAGAGAGACCACCGCTTCCATGGTCCTTCTCTGCAGCATGTTTACAGGGTACAGGATTTTCTGCCCCGGATGTGGCTGCTTTTAAAATAAAATGAACTGTAATTTTCTGCATCCCTGCTGTTGTGATGCACCTAGAATGTATTTAGCTGATTTAACCCGAAAGTTCAATTGGATTAAAAAAAGTTAAGACGTGCAGGTGTGGTAAAGTGTACCTGTCTTATACATACTGTAGGATGTAATTTTGTTATCTGGCTAAACAATAAGCCTAACAGATTATTACTGAAGCTTTATATAGGCTGCCTAAGTTGAGTTAAAGGGACAGTGCCCAAAATGACAAACTCTGTAATTTTTGGGGTGACAGAAAACTAAAAGTGGAATATTCAGCCGGCCCTGAAGTTGGACAAAATTAAACGTTTTGCTGATTGATTAAATGTCGTTATTGTTTTAGGACTCAAGAACTGTGGTGACATGTACTTCTTAGTATGCCTTAAACAGGGGAGGGGAACCTCCGGCCCACCAGGTGGGGTGAACTACAAATCCCAAGATGCATCTGTCTCTGAGTCGTGCCTGTGGCTGTGAGAATCTTGCAATGCCTCATGAGATTTGTAGTTTCACCACAGCTGGGGGGCTGGAGGTTCCTCACCCAATTCTTAAAGGGACTGTTAACCTTCGGACATTTCAATGTGTCATCTTCCACACTTCCTCCTGCAACTTCTACTAAATATATTACTGTATGGTTATTCCTTCTGTTGTGTTCCGCTACACCTACATTGTAGCATGCAGAGAAATTTGTATGCTTGGAGGCTCTGGAAGGCGTACATACTAGGGTGGCCACCTGTCCAGGATTCACCTGGACAGTTCGGGTTTTGAATGCTGTGTCCGGGTTTCATGGCACCAGGTACCTGGACATAAGATGTCAGGCAGACAGGGGCAACCAAAATTAAGATAGGGGGTACTGGCCCCCCACTAAAAATAGTCTCTATTGTGATATTTACATATTAATGGGTGGTTCCTTTTACATATGAATAAGCCACAACTCATTCTCCCCAACAAATATGTCCTCATGTCGCTAGAGTGTTCGGGTTTCGCTTGAAGAAAAGGTGGCAACCCTGGTACATACTGATACCCCGGCCTGAAGCCATATACCAAGTGATAACACCTCTGCCTCATGAAATCACAACATGTACAAAGAGCATAGAAATATGACAAAACTGAGTGAACGAATGTAGTCTAAAACAACCCCCCAGCGCATATCCAGAGGTTTATATTATTTCTAGAAACACGCTCTAAATCAAACAGCAATTTACCCCAACAAAAGTCAGGTTTTAGATTAAGAATTGGTCACATTTTATGTCAATCAAAACAATGAAAGTAACACATAAAAATGCATTTGTAAGACAAAGATCCTTCTGTAACAGAGTATAAGTGCAATTTAACCTTCGCAAGGGATGTGTCCAATGGAGAAGTCGGTTAAAGGTTGACCATGGCTGGTCAGTATATAAAAAATAATTCTTAATGACATTGGTGGATAGACAGGAAAACCTTCAGGAACTCATTCAACAATATAAAACTAAATTTAACTACAATAAAAGTAGAAACAATTTTTTTTCAAGACAAAGATGACTTCCTGTCTCGTAACCCCATAAGAGAATCCTAGCCTAGTGCAGCCTGAAAGAGGTCATTAGACTTCACAGAAAACGTTAATCTGTGTTTTCTTTTTAGGTATGGATTTTTTACTTTATTACTTTACAATGTTATTCGGTGGCTCTTTCACATAGGGTCACCTTGTTTGTGTTAGGTGTATTGGAAAAGTGCACGTCGCTAAGGGTACCATTCATTGAAGCCTTAGTATTCAGATATGAGCTTGTACAGTCATGAAGTCATGTAGACCAGTCATGTACGTTGGCGTAACTGCACATTGATTGGCTGTGTATCTGTTTTTGGGGCGGGAGAGAGAAAAGCATGGCTTATCAAACATAAGGCATCTTAAAGGTTCAAGTACCTTTTGATGGCAGTTTTTTCTGTCCTGTATTTTACAGGGCAGCATTAAGACATAAGTGGGTTTAGGGTTGCCACCACTCTACTATGGGGCCTCATCTTTGTAAAAACTCAACTTTAAAAGGACACCTGTACTAAGAGAAACACCACTGCCACTTTTGACCTCCTTTGGAAAATGCTTAAAGGAGAACTATGAGGTGAGTGCTTTTCACTCACCTCATAGTTCTAGCCGACCTGTGACAATGAGACTGTCACAGGTCGGCTCAGTAGATCGGGAGGTGAGCGAACACATACCAGCGTTCGCTCACCTCTCGATCCTGTCACGGCTCTCTGCCGTGACAGGGGAGGGGCTGGATTCCGCCCTACCCGCTCCGCCAGCGATGACTGGCGGATCGGATGGGGGAGGGGGCGGGTACAGCTGGCTCTGCCTCTAGATAGGCAGAGCCAGCTGTCACTCACGCAGCTGGGCAGATCCCAGCACAATTGTCGGGATCCGCTTCAGCTGCGGCATCTCAGTATACCGCGAGCAGCAGCTCGCGGTATACTGCGGCGTCTCAGTATACCGCGAGCTATAGCTCGTGGTATACTGAGCTTAGGGTGACGGGAGGACGCTAGTTTGTGTCCTCCCGTTACCCTAAGGAGAACTATGGGGAAAAGACTAAACCCTATAGTTCTCCTTTAAAGCCTGGCTGTCTGTTGCATCAATACTTTCTGAATTACTATCCCAGAAACACTTGACCTAAATAACTGTTCTGGGTCAGTGACTTAAAGCAGGATCAGCATGGTAGCCAGGTAACACATTATTCGGGATAGAGGTCAGCAACCTCCGCACTTCTCTCAGAACGTTATTTTTCCACAGAAAGTGTGAAGTGTCACATGACTTTGATGACCTCATTATAATAATAGTAGCAGGGAATTAAGGTGGTGCATGGGACTGGATAGGTTAGAGTTAAACATTATATGCCATATATTTCTGAAAGATCTCCTGGTTAGGGTGAGGTGAGCTTAATGGTGTAGACATAGTTCCATACCCCAATTTTGGAGACCTTCAACTGCATGAGTCAGGCTCAGCATCCTTCTCTGTCTTATGTGCCACTGTGGGGTTGGTCTGCACAGCTGTTGATGTGGTTTAACGTTGCTTTGAAACCCTGCAGCGTTAAGAGACATTCTGCCAGTGGCACAAGAGGTCCATTTTTGCTGCCTTTTTTTGTGGTTCAGACCTAATCAGCTATGGCACACTGGGGAAAATGTGTGGACACGCACCGGAACAACACTGCAAATTGTTTGCACATCATGAATAGTAAGGGTTTCTTGCAAACAGGGTGGCTATAGTTTTCCCAAATGTATAATGGGTGTGTTAAGCCATATTAGAAAACATTTTAGCATGGTCCTTCATTCAAGAGTAGTGGTGCTTAGGAAACATCATTAAGACTATCTGATTTTTTAATATAAAATCCCTGTCCATGTATGGCGTGTTATCTTGCTCCAAAGAAGTTGAGAATTACATTCATGTGGATCTCTGAATCCAGTGGAGGGCTCTCTCTTCCACCAGAGGAAGCCTTCACTCAGTTCGGATTCTGGAGGGTGTTTGGCATAACAAAAAAGAGATAAAGATTCCCTGGTCCTCGATCACTTCTTCTTGGGCAAGACATTGTCATCAAAGTATCCCTTATTGGCGATGTTGCCGGCAGGATCGTAGAAGCCAACGGCAATGTACATGCCTTTGTTGTCTGTGCTCAGGCCAAAGCCAACTTGATTGGAACTCTTCCAGATCATCTGGGTGAAGTTACCTGGCGATGGAAGAGATCAGATGGATGAAGGAAACGGAGGACATTTTTTGCAGAGTCATCACAGAAACCAAACTGTAACAGCAACTTAGGAGAATTATTGACTTGGTGACCACAATAATGATAAGCGCCATATGATCTACATAGGTTGGACTGGACAGACCTGTTGACAGACCATAGGTTGGACTGAACAGAGCGAGCCCCATATATTTTAAATCTGTTTTTTACTCCTTGCTGGTTTCTTTAAACAAACAGTTTAAAGGCATCAGTGTAAACTCTTATTTGCCAAATGATTTATGGTTCTGTTTGGCCAGTCTTACCCCCCCCTTCCTCCATTACACTACATAGACAGCAGGGTGGCAATACTATTAACTGTTGCTGCCCAGCAACTTTCTGTGTCTGTAAGAATGAGTGTCATTGCACTGCTGAGCTCTTCTCTCTTCCACTAGCTCTACTAACTTCTCTAGCTCTCAGTGCCTGAAAACATGCTAGTGGCTGCAATGTGCTTGACTGGCTCACAGTGCAGAACCTCACACTCTCAGAGTTCTGCTGTATAGACACATACACATACACACACACACACACACACACAGGCAAATGTCAGGCAAGCAGGTTAGCAGTATTTAAAATAACATGATTTTTTAATGAATACATAACTTGAATAAAATTAGAACTGACATTTAGTCTACTGTGCCCCAACGGTGCTGCCAGCCAATAGGATATTTTTTTATGCTTTCATCTTACCTGACCCACTTTGGAAACCTGGGTTGCTGAAATTATACTTTGTGATCTCATTGTACCAAGATTCAGCCACTTCCTTCCCTGAAATGCAAAAACACATTGAATGAATTGACCATCTTACCTTAAATAGCCCAATCATGCTTTAAAATGCATCTGCCATTGTGTATGTGAGAGATAGCAAGGAGCCCGCAGTGGGTGTGTTTAGGAATGCCTCTCCTGCATTATAAGCAGGGGGTCCCGGATCATCATATGCATAAAAGGCAGTGAGGTGGCCAAGTGTACTCCAGTATAGAAAAAAAAGCTGAAATACTCAGGTAGGTTGCTCCTCCTTTATCATTCCCTCACATAGAGTCCTCTGTAGGGAGCACGTTCATTCCTTGCCAGGAATTGGACATGTAATATGGTGGAGGAAGAGGAATCACCAGCACTCAGTAGAATAATCCAACATGTCCATTTATTGGACATAGATGTAACGCAATCACAAGAGCCAACGTTTCGAGACCATGCAGGGTCTCTTCATCAGGGCATAAAGAGTGCCCTGATGAAGAGACCCTGCGTGGTCTCGAAACGTTGGCTCTTGTGATTGCGTTACATCTATGTCCAATAAATGGACATGTTGGATTATTCTACTGAGTGCTGGTGATACCTCTTCCTACATTGTGTCTGCACGGTGCCACCCGTGTTCATCACTACAAGCACCATTGTCTACATAGGCTTTGATTGCTGCAAGGTGTGCAGAGGATTTCCCCTTCTATCCAATATGTAATACGGTGGTTCTTTTCCTCCATAATCCCCCTGTTTTATAACCTTGTTACTTGTTATAACAATGCAGCTCTAAACAAATGGGGATGAAAACACGGGACAGGACTGTCCAATATTCAGTGCATTGATGGTGTCTGCCCCTTATGCAAATATATGGGCATAATGGCATGCTATTGGGGTGGGGGACCTATGACCTCTGAGCTGTTCAGCCAGCTGAGCTGAAACCAAGAGGTCCTAGAGAATTCCAGGTTTTGACACACAGTCTACAAGTGTGCATGCCTGCATTATTTTTACCTTGCAATTTCAGACTGTTTATATGAAAAATAAACTGTAGTTCTGCTTTAATGTATATCTAAAGCTAAAACATTTTTTGTTTTTAGTTTTGAATAGAATGGGGAAGGGCTAGAAAAGCTGTCTTTTTTTTTTCCCTGCAGTATTTGTGCCCCTTTGTGGAGATTCCCCACCATTTTCTGTTCTATAGACACACCAGGAAGTGAGAGAATGTCTAATAGAGATGGTAATAGCTCTCTTTGTTGACATTGGAACAAGTGTCTCCTTCTATCCTGGTGACATATGTAAAATGTAGGATTTACTAGCAATTTCTGTTCTGGTGACAGTGATCACCAGCACAAATGAATCTCCCCAGCAGTGGGCACAGCAATAATAACCTCATAGGAGTCCCAACCCATACCTGCGCTAAACTAAACTATAAAAATGTTTTGGCTTCACATACACTTTAAAGCTGATGTTTAATTTGCTTTGGTTTTGCCCTCCCTGGTTTCTCTCTGCCCCCTGAACTTACTTATGAAATTCTTTAATACATTTTTTCTGTTTTCATTACATACCTTATTTTAGACCCAGTGATATTATTGCTGGGGCTATGTGCTTCTCTAGGTAAATCAGGCAGATCATCGACAGCGAGAGAGTCTGACAGGGTGCTGTACATAGCTTCCGGAAAACATGCCTCTCAGGAGCCCTCAGCCCTGATGCAAGCAGTGGACTGGCTCTTGGGAGGAATTATGCAAATATCTGAATGGGTTGATGGGTGGATGTCAGTTTGGAGGCATGGGCATTTATAGGCAGAGTGCATTTGCAAGTAGACTACACTAGGTAACACCCACATGTAATGCTGAGCCTTTATGATTGAAATGCAATAAACGAAGGGGGTGGGCCAGGGACAGTAAGGCTGGGAAGGATACGGCTAGATGATGCTGGATGACTTTCGGCCAAGCTCCAGGCCAGTTTTGTCTCTTATTACTTGGTCAGCTGGAATATGAACACATACCTGTTGGCAGACTAGTGTCCGTGCCCCAACGGTACCATAGGTTCTCTCCATGTTCTGAGTCACTGTTCTGCAGAGCGCGCATCCCAACCAAATGGTCCGCCCATTTCTGTGCTTCCTGTGTTAAGGACGTGCTGACCTGCAGCGCTCCTGAGCCATGCAGGCGACGGTTCTTGTTGTGCTCGTTCAGGAGATCTTTCCGGAATGTTTTCAGATCTTTCTCTGGAGAAATATTAAGGAAAGCTCCTATCAACCACTTAATAAACACATATACGTATGAACTACAATAGCTGGCATAGATTTGTAAAGCAATACACACACTCTTATTACCCAACCACCCCAGCTATGTTATAACGTTGCATAGAATAAAAGCAGTGACAACATGGCAGATAGATTCCACGCTGCCTCTTGCCTGCTTAGTGGTGGTGATTTATTCATAAAAACAATGCGGTCCTGTAGTCCTGGTCCTGTGTCTAAACCAGTGTTTCTCAACCTGTGTAACCTCAGGACCACATTTGTCCTTGGTCATTAAGTCACGACCCAAGTCACACCGCATTGGAACGCCTGGCGTTGTGGAACTGCACGTTCCCATGTGGGCAATCAAACTGTGGGCAGGAGGTGTGTTTGGGGTGCAATTCAAAGGAATGGCAACACAACTCCCACACCAGAATGCATGGTACAGTGTGTTATAGCATGGGACTGTGCGTTTAAAGGAGAACTATGGGGTTAAGGCTTTTCCCCATAGTTCTCCTTAGGGTAACGGGAGGATACAAACTATCGTCCTCCCGTCACCCTAAGCTCAGTATACCGCAAACCACAGCTCGCGGTATACTGAGACTCCACAGTACACCGCGAGCTACTGCTCGCGGTATACTGAGACGCCGCAGCTGAAGGGGATCCCTACAATTATGTCTGGATCCGCCCAGCTGTGTGAGTGACAGCTGGCTCTGCTTATCTAAAGGCAGAGCCAGCTGTACCCGCCCCCTCCCCCGTCCAATCCGCCAGTCAGCGCTGGCGGATCGGAGCGGGGAGGGGGGAATCCAGCCCCTCCCCTGTCACGGCAGCGAGCTGTGACAGGATCGAGAGGTGAGCGAACGCCGGTATGTGTTCGCTCACCTCCCGATCTACTGAGCCGACCTGTGACAGTCTCATTGTGTTGGCTAAAACTATGAGGTGAGAGAAAAGCACTCACCTCATAGTTCTCCTTTAATGCTGTACTAGTGTGAACGGGCCCTCAAAGACACTGACAGACACACACAACCACAGACACAATTTCAAACACTCACCTTCTGACACACACATGCATACTCCCCAAAAAAATTAAGTGTTTTTTTAGATCCACCCAGTCACCCTTCCTTGCGAGAACTGAACCTGGGGTCCAGTGTGGGCTGCTATGCTGTGATGGAGCTCCATCCATACGTGCAATTCTTGTACAGCTCCCTCACGCGTGCCCTGTAGAGGTGTCGGGAGCCAGAATGTGACGTGACTCTGATCCAGGCACCTCTACAGGGCATGCAAGGGAGCTGTAAGAAATGCACGTATAGATGGAGCTCCCCTCTCAGCCCATTCCACCTTAAGCTGACACTTGGCGCCGAACAGAATATTTTGAATTGCTCCTTGGCATGAGAACTGACATGCTGCTCTATGGGGAGGCTGAGGAGCTTCTCACCTAGTGCAGTGGAAGGCACATGGTGACAGACTGAACACCAGTTGAGAACCATGGTTCTAGAGAACACAGCCAGGTTCTGCAATCATGGCAGACTACACTGCAGTTAATCAATGCATACTGTTGAAGGACCTATTCCAGCTTGTGCCAAGAAATTGAAATAGCAGGTGTATACTGATGAGGTTCTCTCTGCTCCTCCCCTCATGGTCACAGATAACACTGTACAAAGCAAGAGTTCTGCTTCACCTTCATCCAGTATCAGTGCTGCCATCCAGGAAATTATAGGCAAATATCAAGTAACTTATACTTGTTCTATGCAAAATTAAACTGAGTGATTTTATTAATAGACAGGTAACTGGAATAAATGTTTTTTAATCACCTGGAATTCGGATTTAAATAGAAATAAAGGCTGGAAGTTACAGTCCTGTTCGTGTTCTATTCCCTACCTGGAATAGCGACAATGCCATTGACAGCTGAGCCCTTCACAAAGCCATCTTCATCGTCATCATCGTCAGTCACTTTTGACCCTCGAGTTAGTACATTGCGGGCATAGAGGCCAGGGTTGGTGATGTTGCCGCATGGGTTGTACTGAGCCACCACGATGAACATTCCCTTCCCACTAGATGCTATACCAACGCCAACTTCCTTGGAAGTCTTCCATACCATCTGTGTGAAATGTCCTGTCACAAGGAGGAAGAAAAGGATCACTAAGGGCTCATTGTATATGATATAGGAATTTCTATGTTTATTTCTAGTTGCCTATGTGTGTAATGAAGCAAGAAGTTCTTAGAAATTTAAAGTGAGGTTGACAGTGTGACTAGAATAAAAACAAACATGAATGTAACATCAATGATCATTATCTCTCATGATCGGGGCCAGCTACATACAATGTTCAGAGATTTAAGGCCCAACTTAAGCCAAAAGATCTTCGAACTGGGACATCTGTTTTAGGGACAGCTGTCTAACAAGGGAATTCCTCTTACTTTGAGAGACTTCCTCTAATTTCCTGTTGTGTCTCTGGCACAGTAAGTGAAGGTATATTTCCCTAATGGTATAAAGGCAGCAAAAAAAAACCTGGTAGAGGTTTTAATGCTTACCTACCTGAAACTAAAAAAAAGATTTCTCTACAGATACACTTAAAAAGCTATGGCTTTGTTCTACCAGTTTTTACAATACACCAATGAAGTACAAATTATTGCACAACAAATTACACTGTGCAGTGTGCACGCTGCAGCAATATTGTACTTGTGCTTTCACCCGCAGAGTCAAGTCTTGGGGAATTGCAATACTGCTTTTTTCCACAAGATGGCGATATTGCTTCATTTAGTAAATCGAGTTGCTGCATGAACCAAGGCTTCTCTATTACTTGCCATAACAGTATTATCTTCACCTTTACTGGGAGGTGAATCACACCATGGAATGAATGCCCTCGCCCCAGATTCTTTATCATTGTTCTGTGAAAGCTAAAGACAATAATGGAATGGAATCAGTATTTACACTTGTCTTTACTGATCTGCTTCTACGACTTACCAGTATCTGGCTGATGTCCCGGTTTGGAGAAGTTGTAGTTCTTCTCTTCTTTGTACCAACTGTCAGCCACTTCTTGTCCTGAAAAGAAAACACAGTGAAACGGTTTGTCATATAAAATATGACCGATGTTTGCCCGTACCTTTCAAATTTCTGAGAGAGGGAACCCTTTTACCACTACAAGAGACTTTGCTACACCAACAACACACCTCCCAGATGGAAAGAGGAACACATTAGCACAGGATAAGCCCCTGATTAAAATGGAACTTAAAGTAAAACATTTTGTTTCTGGATAAAGTAAGGGGAGGTGGTGGGGGTCAGCTTTTTGTGTCATCTGTGTCCCATTGGGTAGATTTCCCTTCACTTCCTGTCCAATAACCTCAACAAGATTGAAGGCAATTCCTGGTGGTCAGCAGTCACCAGAACTAGTGTCCCCTTAGGGTGATTTCCCATCCATTCCTATTCAACCTAAAATGTGGGATTTTCTTTTACATTCGGTGATAATGGTCACCAGGACAAATAGAGCCTGATTGGTGTCCTAAGCCTTCTCTACTCCTTTGCACTTTAATGCACAAAAAAGTATTAGTTTAACCCAAAATTGCTTTTTTAATCACTACTTTTCCTTTATTTTGGCTTTTCAAAATAACAAATTAAAACATTCAAAGGTTAGAATAAAGGTTTAATGTAGTAAAACACATTTAATAGTTAAATAGTACATTTTCTATACAGGTCCATACATCAGACCAAAAAAGATGGATAACTGAGGAAGAAAGGGAGACAGAGAGATTTGGTTTCAAAAGCGGGACTTTCCTTCCAAATGAAGGGCCTCTGGGAGCTACGTAACAAAAGTCCACCTCACCTATAGAGAGACACTTCAAAATAAATCTAAATGCAGCCACATTCTTTACATAAAGCCAGATATTTAATGTTATGGGTGGAGGCAGGTGAATATCTGAACTGTTCCCGGCACAATCCCTGCCACTGAATCTCAGCCCTCCCAGTTGCAATCTCTGTAATGTTGCACAGATCTAACATGGAGCACGGACACTACATAATGGCTGCAGAAAGTAGGCGGAGCTGGGAACTGAGGTCCAGTATTCTCATCAATGGAGGTCCTTGGAGACATTAGATGATGGTGAATGGTTCAGCTCACTGGCAATAATCCAGAATTAAAATATAAATTCTGGGTGAGCCGACTCTGTAAAGCTGTACTAAGCATCTGCCTATCATTTATGTTCCCTTAGTACTTAGTTGTTAAGATTTAACATCCCACAATGGTTAATGTGTGTAGGGAAAGAGAGAAAGAAGTGTAAAAATGTACTTGGGCAGCAGTGATGGGCTATTTAGGTGCAGAGATTGGCTACGGTGGTGGGGAGGGTAGGACAGAGCAGGAGGAAGTGCAGCAGGTCAGGCATCGATAGCTAGCTCAAGATGGAGCATCATTGCTCCCTACCCCATGACACCCTTTTTGTTTCTGTTCTGATTTTTTCATTCCTGTTGCATTGTTGCTAGTTTCCCTGTTTTATGTCTTTCGGAGACTTGCTTGCTGATTCAATAAAACGTGAGAAAAGAAAATGGAAACAAAAGTGGAGTTTTCACCAGAAGTGATTAATCGGGCTTCTTTATATGAAACATTTGCCAGCTATAGTCTAACATCTGTCCCAATAACATGCCCATCAGACAGTGCCTGGCATCAGGATACACCTTTATTATTCTGATTGGTGGGCATTTCTTAAAGGTAAAAGGACTGCTGGTTAGTATAAAATATTTAAGGAACAAGACTAAAGTTAAAGATTCTTTTTGAAATCCATTACATGGTAGCATGAAATAATAATTCAAGAGGCAAATGAAAGACCTTTTGTTAAATACAACAAAACAGGACTCTCATGAAAGTCTGGCACTGAGATACTGGCCATGTGGTATCTGCTAATGTGGATGATCTCAGGCAATGATGTCAGGAGACTGTTCAGAGCTTGTGCCTATCTGTCAGCCCTTCAAGATTCACTAGTGGAGACCATGTGCCCAATGCTTCTAGTCTGATCATGTCAAGGGGTAAAAGACCTTTGTGAGAGTCCAGTTTTTCGAGCTCCTATAAAAATCATTATATAACGCAGATAAAAATGTTAAAGTAACTCTGACTTCCTCTGTGTGTACAACGCTCCTTGTTTCATTTTAAAGTAGAGGTAAACCCAATCACAACAATATATGTAATCTTCAACAATGTTTAATCTTTTTTAATCTGCAGCTTTCATTAAAAAGAATACTCGTTTATCCATGCCCCTATGTGGTCACACAGTGTTTCTATAACATTTATTGATACAATGCCTCTTAAAGTCTGCATGTGTCATATTTATCATTGATTGTTATCCATTCATTTTTTTGTCACTTCACTTGCCTGCCACTGTGATGGATGGGCTCCCTGTTTTAGCCCAGATGTTCTCTCCATAGGAAGTGTCGCTGTGCTTCAGGGTCTTCAGGGTCAGAAGATGCTCCGCCCACTTCTGGGCCTCCTGACTAATTCTGGAATTGAGCTGCAAGGGTTTCGCTCCATGTATTGCCCGGTAATTGTTATTTGCCTTTAGAAATTCTTGTGCAAATGTTCTTGTATCTACTAGATAAAGGAACGAGACTGTATACGAGCATGACAGCAGAACATATCTGAGCATCACAAGGGTTGATGTTGCAGCAGGAAAATGTATATTGCTCACAAATAGCCCTTTCCCAGCCCCCATATACCATGCCATCAATGCAACATTAGGCCCCATTCACACTGCGCGATTCGCAAATCGCGCGTTTGTCGCGCAATTTGCATTTTGCTCGATATCGCGCAAATGCTTGCATTGAGCAAGCTGGAATCGCGGCAAAATCCGCTCCAAAAAGGGTCCTGCTGTAGCAACGCACGACCCGCGACAGCAGGACCCTTTGTCCCATTGCCAAGAATTGGAGAGCGATATCGCGCGGTAAATAGCCACGATATCGCGGGAATTTTCCGCGCGATAAATCGCTCAATGTGAACGGGGCCTAAAGGGTAATAATTAGTGTCTCCAACCATCTAAAGTTTGTTTATTGCTCAGAGAGCTTCCCCAGCATGCTGTGTGATCTCGCCAGTCTTCACCAACTATAGTTAGCCTAATACCTGTCCTTACATGCAACAATAACATTTTTACTGAACAGGAGACAGCTGTCTCTAACAGATATTCAAGCTGCATTCAGCTAAATCGATCTTTCCTTTGTTGGGTAAAACTATCGACTTCAAGTAAAAGATTGTCTGGCGTGATCAAACCTATCATCAGTTGTTTATTGTTATATGCGTATGGCCAGAAAAACTGCCCATACATAGATCAAGATCTGTTGACTGAACAAATTTGAACTTTCCTTGCAATATTCAAACAATATACAAGTCAAAGACCAACTCTGGGCAACACCTAATATTATTCAGAACTGGTAATACAGGGTACACTGCTACTGTGCTAAATTCAGAACTTCTGATCAGAGTGCTAAATCTATTGTCATAATCCCATATAACAGACAGCTCTTGGCAGCTTTGGCCTAACTTTCCTTTATGAGCATCTCAGTAAATGTTACATTTTGCAGAGCTTATGTACCAGAAGATGGTGATCCAGAGTCGCCTCCACATCCAGAAGGATAAAAGGTGGCTCCTGCCCCCCGGTCGCTGGGTCCTCCTACGCTCTCAGTTACTGGGGTGCCCTTGGGCAGCACGTTTTTCTGGAAGTAGCCTGGGTTGGTGATGTTGCCTGCAGGACTGTACTGGGCTACAGCGATCACCATTCCTTTACCATCCACAGCTTTGGCAATGCCAATTTCCCTGGAGTCTTTCCAGACCACTTGAGTAAAATGACCTGGAGATGAGAAACAGGATCATGGGAAGAGGTTCTACTACCTGGGTAGGAATCCTATAATTAAGCCCTGTGGGTGAAACATGTAAGGAGAGAGTTTATTTAGATCTGGGGAGCTTTGGAAGGTATATGCTGTTCCATGGATTGATGTAGAGCAGCGGTTCTCAACCTTTCTAGTGCCGGGACCCCTTGGTAACATTTGGCAAGTTGTGGTGACCCCCAATGGTAAAATTTAGGGATGACGCAGCTGCTGCAGCGACATCTGGCGGCGTGACGGGAGAACTGACACTGCTGCGCTAGGAGAAGACTGAGTGGGAGACTCATCGGCGACCCCTGGCAAATCATAATTCGACTCCCGATAGGGTCGCGACCCACAGGTTGAGAACCGCTGATGTAGAGAAAGCATTGAGTGCAGCTCTTTTTGGACAAAAATTCATACAGGTTGGAGCGAGCTTTTTGCCAGCACCTGGAGGTTCCTCTTAATATCTGACTGCGTAATCTGAGTAGTGAGTGTTGTGGATTATGTAAAATAACAATGTTTAAGAATTTTTTTTTAAACATATAAAATATCAGTTTATAATAGGGCTGCGGAAATTAACGATTAATCCCTCGAATAATCGTTAATTTTTTTGATCGATCAAAATTATTTTGATCGGAACTCACCTCTCCGCCGGCTTCCGGGTCTTCCGTCGGAGATCCGGTGACGTCACGGACTCCTCCCCCCTTCCCCGAGTGGCTCTGTCAGCTAACGAAGGGAAGTGGGAAGGAGTCCGGTGATGTAGTTGTCCGTGATGGGTAACGAAGGGGAGGAGTCCGGTGACGTTGATGTCCGTGATGTCCAAATCGAACAGGAAAATTTTAATCATTACCAGCCCTAGTTTATAAATTTGTAAGTATTAAAAAATAATACAACAAAACAAACCACAAAACAGTATATATTCTCTAAAACATGGTAAAAAAGGGACCTTACCTGTGTTAGACTGAAATCCAGGCTGGCTAAAATTATAATCTTTTATCTCGTTATACCAGGTATCCACGACTTCCGATCCTGGAATACAACACATGAGTAACCATATTTGAGTTATTCTGACAGTTTGCCATAAAGTAGCTTTTTATGTGGCTTTCACATTACTGTATGCTTTCTTTTCCATATGTGTCTTAGTTTACTAAATATAGAGATTTATAGTATAGCCACTAGAGGGAGTTCTGTTTTCGATTAAGTCCATTCAAACTCCCAGCTGGACAACTGTTGTGATAAAATATCAGCCACACAAGGATTGCATTGTTTTCAGCAAGTCAGATGACTCATAGACTTATGGTATAAGAAGGAGCAGTAAAGCACAACCATGATGTAGCACTGAAAAGAAAGAAGCAGAGCCTGCGTATGTTATGAGCAAATGCTGCTGCTGTCTGATGTACATACAATATATAATTACAAATTTTACAGAACGTAAGCTTTATGCAAACAGTTTTGTTTGACAAAACATATTGATAATATTATTTATATCAAACTGATCCCCTTCACAAATTATTAAAATATATATATTTCCTTAAAACACACATCTAATACATCCCAAAAGGCAAACAGATGTCCTCAGGAGAGTTTTGTGCCGCTCTAAATTGGTAGAAGTTGATAAAGGGAGTTGGCTTGCGCTGCAATGTATAATTTGAGCTGTCGCCAAAGGCAGACAGAGATATCTTCTTCAGATTCAATAAATAACAAATATCTGGCAGACGGCTACATCAAAAACATTGCAGGCTGTGATTATGTAACATTAAAAGGAAACCATACTAAATATTTACAGTCAAGTGTCATTTTGTTGTGGTTTATCTAAAATATTATTGTATAATTCTTTTATGTAGTTTGTTCCCATGCTGTGCCATTTTTTCATGATAATATATTACATCTGTACATGCATCCTCTACTGGCTAACCATATGCCAGAGAATGCAGTCACCATTCTTGCTGAATGCCTCTAATATTAGAAAACGGATCAAATGATTAGCCAACTGCGCACAATTGTAGGCGCAAAATACGAAACAAAGTTGATGACAAATGAGTTTGATTACCTGTTGATCCTGCCTTTGATCTGTTATTTTTCTACTGCTAAAGGGTGACAACAGTGCAGTGAAATTGCACATCAGTGTAGTTTTAAATACAGTGGGGGTGGTGGGGGGGGTGATTTATCAAAATTGGAGCAGTCAAAATCTGGAGCAGCTGTGTATGGCAACCAATCAGCTTCTTTCTTCAGTTTGGTCAGTTAATATTTGAAAAAGAAAGAGAGTAGCTTATTGGTTGCCATGCACAGCTGCTCCCTATTTTGTCTGCTCCAGTTTTGATAAATTCCCCTCAATGTAATTAAGATACAAATTCAAGCCTAAATACAACTAACACCTTTTAAGTACAGCAACTGACATTTTTTTCTTTTTGAACATAACAGACCATTGTAAGCACCCCTGTCAGTGTTATATGGCGTGCCCCAAATCCTATAACTGGCACATTTGCTAGACAGCTTGGCTTGATAAATAATGTGGAAAAATAACAGATCTGCTGGTAGGATCAACAGGTAATAAAACTATTATAGATAGACTTATAAAAACAAAAGCTGCATTATATATGTCTTTTTGATTTTGCCCAAATGTCCACTTTAAACCTGTACTGAGATTAGAGGAGCAGTAAAGCACAATCTATCTGCTGATTCTATACAAGAAGCATAGCATATGTATTCAGTGGGATATATGGCTGCCCTCTAGTACACACATATAGCTCTTTAAAATCTATACTCAAAACAAAGTTAATTGGTCTTTTTAAAATCAGATTTGTCCATGAAATCTCTGAAAATTAGCCTGTCCTTTAACTGTCACTGACAATTGACAGTTGCTGTTATTGAAGCAATGCAATCTTTTTAATATTGCTGGGTGGACTGATGTTCCATAACAGAAAAGGTAAGATGATCTGACCAGAATATAAACATATTGGGGGCAATTTATCAAAACTGGAGCAGACAGAATCTGGAGCAGTTGTCCATGGCAACCAATCAGTGTCTCTCTTCAATTTGTTCAGTTAAGATTTGGAAATGAAAGAGAGAACCTGATTGGCTGCCAAGCACAGCTGCTCCAGATTTGATAAATTCCCCTTACACTGCCTAAATGGAATCACAAGTAGAATTTTCTTTAAGGACTCAGAGAGCTTACCGGATGCATCCCTGGCGCTTGAGTTCCATTTATACCACAGGTTCTCGCCATGGTTGGTGTTGCTGTGCTGAAGAGCATTGATGGAAAGAAGGTGGTTGGCCCACTTCTGGCTGGACTCGCACAAGTCCCTGGTCAGCTGTAGCGGAGGAGCGCCGTGTATGCGTCGGTACTTGTTGTGTGTGTCCAATGCTTCCTGCTCAAAGTTGCTTGATTTGACTACAGTTGAGAGACACTCTAGTCAAAAACATTGCTTTCAATGAAACAATTCTGCTGCCTATATGTAAACATGGTACTTGCTTTTCCTTAGGCTGAAATGACTTCTCTACTGAGTCTCAAACCTGCCTACTAAGACACATTGACCTTTGCATTCTATAGGTCAAAGTTTAACTATAAGTTGTATGAGTGGACATTTACATTGACTAGTAGGAGATTATAATCAGTAACCTGCTATGTACACAGGGAAACCACAAGGTGCCTGCAAGTACCTGGAGTTCCCAGCCTTTCATTTTGTATGCACCCCGGGTGTCCCCCAAATCCCGGTGTACTCCTTACAACTTTACCTACAACTTTGCAGTATCTCGTCAGCCATTTCACTATCTAATGAAGAAGCCCAAGTACTCAAAAAGAGCTGATATTGGTGTAAGTGTTGGAGGGCAGCAAGGCAATAAAAATCCAATTCAAATGTCTTTCTGAACTTTCTCCCCTCCCATCTCCTCAGACATAAGCATGCAGGGTCTGCTGAAGTAACGTTCATGTTCATAGAAAAATCTTTTGTCAGGAAGATCTTTCAGCAATTAATTCATGCCTCCACATAAAACTACAATCTAAAGGGTCTTCTATATATAGGAAATATAATAAGAACTGAGGATTGGTCTGCCACCTCCTTGAAATCTTGCCAACCTATGCCTTCAGCAAATGGAAGATTAGCTCCATCAAAGTGCTTTAAAAGCACCAGGGCCAGATGTTCAAGAGTTACCAATAAACGTGTAGGCCACACATTGGGGCTGATGTATAAACTTTCCGCCCTAAGCATATCTGGGCAAATGCCCAGCAGGGCATAGGAATTTCCTATGCTCCTTGGCTCCATCTAGTGGTGGAAATGTTTCCATATGGCATTCGCTCAGCTATACGGTGGACAGAAGGTTTATGCTTAACCCCTATTGTGTTAAGTTGATCGTAAATGCCTGGAAATTCAGGATCTCCCTTGTGGAAACCCCTCTGTAATTCTTACCCGGCTGGCTGATGCTGACTGTTGGTTTCTGATCACTTGTATTTTCTGCTTCAGGTGACTTATTTCCACTTGGTTTCCACCGTGAACCAGACTGGTCACTGTCTGTTGATAGTGCTGACCCTGATGGCAGTGCTGACCCTGATGGCAGTACGTTCTTTTCAAAGAACCCAGGGTTTGTGATGTTTCCTGCTGGGTTATACTGCCCGACCACAAAATAAAGTCCATTGCCATCAGTGGCCACCCCAACACCAACTTCCTTCGACTCCTTCCATACAACTTGAGTGAAATGTCCTTAAAAAAAAGGCAAAGCAAAATGTCAAGAAGGTTGAGTGACATGGTAGGAACATGGAAAAATAACAGAACTCCAATGTAAACTTTGACTATTACCTGTGTTACTTCGGAACCCTGGCCTTGCAAAATCATAGTTCTTTATTTCATCGTACCATGAATCTACGGGTTCTTGACCTATAGATAGAAAGCAAGTCATTATAGGACAGATGTTACACTAGTATCACAAACAGCTTTGCAATATTGGAGCTCCTTTAACCCTTTAGTTGCCACGACGTATGTCATACGTCGCTGGCAGTGAGCCCCTTTAAACAGACATGTGTAAAGTTGACTGTCGGTTTTACACTTGAAGCGTTTCTGGTGGCTTAGCTGCCGCCAGATCGCTTCCAGAGGCCGATGAAGTGCGCCACCCCCGCCTTGCATCCCAGGCTCCACTGGCCTTCCTGTGGGCCTGGGACTGGCCTGTTGGCAGTAACTGTTTGCCAATCTCCTCTCCTCTCTATGGGACCGGAAGTGATGCTGATTGCATAATTTACGGTTCCACAGCTGTTGGGTGCAGAAGCTGGGGAAGAAGCAATTGGTGCACGATCTGCACTCCAACAGCTTATTTGGAGTGGAAAGGTGAAATAAGGGGTCTAATTGACCCCTAATATCACCTTAAAGAGAACCTGTCACCACTAGTATGCTATCACAAAGGGGGCTTGTAAGCCCCCTTATGTAATAGCAATTAAGTAAAAATAAAAAGTTAAAAAAATAAGATTAATTAAAATAAATGTAAAAATAGTTTTAAAAAAATCTTTTAAAATTTCCTGCACCTGCGCCTATTTTCGTAAATACGCGTTGGGCCTAAAATGTGAATTATAACGTGTGCAAAAAATGCCCGGACAGCGAAAGGGTTAATAATCTAGAAGATTATGCTGGTGCTTAAAAGGTTCACTTCGCCAAAAATGGGTATGCCAGAAATAAGTGACTGCAGGCAAACTGATTCTAGCATTAGCTTCTTAAACCCAGTTTCAGCTTTGGGTAGAGTAGTGAGAGGTTAGGACCTCTTTCATGTTTTTATTATTGTCTGTGTCCCTGTTGGGGAGAGTTATTCTTATTTCCTGTCCAGATGATAGGGTGCAACAAGAACAGGAAGTGATGGGTCATCTCTTTGATGGGCAGAGACAGCAACAAATACTTATTTATTAAGTAGAGAAGGGAAAGATTTAAAATATAGGTCAGGTTTTTACTACCCTATTTGTCTTTCTGGCGATACATGTACTCTCTTATTTCTTGTCCTACTGTCATTGGAAATCTCCCTAATAAGGACATAGCCAGCAATAAAAACTTGAAGGAGTTTCTGATTCCTACCCAGATGCAGGTGGCTGCTTATGAGGGCAACTGAGCCCTGTCTGGGTCTAAGCTAGATTGCTCCACTGCCTGATACTTATGGAGCTCATTGAATGCTATGAACAGTGGCCCTGCTGTGTGTATGCATGCTTGGCTGCTTCATCGATTTAATGCAAATCAACTTAATAGGGGCATTTTCCACTGACATCTTATACTAGCTTTTCTCAACCATTTTACCCCAGGGGAACCCTTAAAATAATTTTTAACCTCTAGCAACTTCTGGTGGAATCCTAGGGTTGGAGGAACCTTGGTTGAGAAACGGCTTCCTTATATACCATGCTCAACAAGACTGACAAGTGCAACCCAAAGCAGGGGAGGATCAGGTAGCCTCCAAAGTGGCTGCCTACACTTCCCATAAAACTACTGTACAGCCATTGAAGAGCCACTACTAATACCTATTTATGTAAAATGTCCAAAGAGAAAGCTGGTACATAAAAGTCAAATAATTGTTTTACATAAGCTGCCAGCATAGACAAAAGGAAACAAAAAAAGAAGCCAGTAGTTTCCTTTTATGGAATTCCTGGACAGGAAAACAGGGGTGTTCTGAAAAATGTGCCCCCCCAATAGACAGAAAATGTGTTTTTTTTTTTTGTTGGAGTTAAAGTCCACATCTGTAGCAGCGTTCAGCAAAATTCAATGATTATCACTTCTGTAAAGTATTGCTGTACTTGCACTGTAGCTGACTTGACCTATGGTTTGCTCTTATGACTTTGAAGGAGTTAGAAACCGCAATGTGAAGGGCAAAATGTCTCCTATCCAGCTACTAAGCCACCTTTTTTGCCATAAACTGAAAATCTGTCATAAACCAGTTTAGTTAAAAAATTAACTGGGAAGGTGTCACTGCCTAGAAGTTTAGTTGAGATATGCCCAGTGAGCACTGCACAATGATAACAAGCAGCAAGCCCTGACCTGTACGCCTCACAAATAAAGTTCAATATTACAACCAAGAACAAAACTATAGCAAATGCAGGCTTAATTGGTTGGTCCACCCAAAAGTGACATTTTACCTACTGTATAAGTAGGTTATGCAGGCCCCTGGATTCTTCTATGCCTGGGATCCTCTGACAGTGACATCTCCAAAAGAGTGGGAGCCCTTCATGAAGGGCACAGAAAGCATACAGATCCGGGATCTCAGACCAAAGATTTCACCAATAGATTCCCCAGAAATAAAATAACCCGTTAGGTCATTTACTCTCCAGCATCCGCTGAACACTGAAATATCACCCAAAACTGTTATTTTAGTTCCTGGCGGATGCTGGAGAGTTAATCACCCAACAGACAGATACTTCTGTCTAGTGCCTGCCGCATCTTATGTTCATATTGCCATGGTAATATGCATACAAAATGGGGATGGGCCATATACAGGATTGGTGTTGATGTATTTAGGACATTTGAAGGCTTAAATATGAAGGGATTAAAATTTTCCACTTCTACCGATACGCTGAATGTCCAGCTACTTTGCATTTGTATGTCTGCAGCAAAGGGTCAGGTCTAGAGGTCCACCGAAATAGAAATTTGAAAACCGAAACAAAAAAAAATTGTCAGGTCGAAAACGAAAGCGAAACCGAAAATATTTCTATTTTAATTTTTTCAAATTTTTTAAATATTTTATTTGTATTTATTTTTTATAAACTTTTTCATTTTTTTTATATTTATTTTTATTTATTAATTCATTTTTTATTAAATATTTTTATTTTTGACTTTACTGTCACAGGAGGCTGAGCGGTGTGGGAGGAGGGACAATGGCCGCTCACAGCGCTCTCCTCCGGCAGCGCTCGGGCCGGCTGTCACTTTCTTTCCTCCCCGCTGGGACACAGAGCAGCGCCCAGCGGGGAGGAAAGTAACCTGGGATGCGCTGATGTATCGGCAGGAAAATGGCAATTTCGGCATTTAGCCAAAAGTGCAATTTTTTGGCTGATATGTTTCGGCGGCCAATATATCAGTCCATCCCTAGTCAGGTCCTCTTAAAGGATATATCCATTCAAAAGTGATATTTTAGCTATGGGTGTCCACTTGTGGGCTGACGCCCCCTCATTATGTCTTGGGTACTACAACAGCGAGCAAATGTTGGCTTCATGCTGGAAGATGGAACTTATTGCTGGAAGTTGGAGCTTCATGTTGGAAGTTGGGCCTAAGCTGGCCATGCACTGTTAGCTATTTCTCATAACAGCATGGATGGGGTAATCCCCCTTGGTCTATTGTATTCTGTCAGTGGTGCACCTGAACACAAAACAACAACCTTTGTCAAAAGGGGGGTCCCAAAGGGGCCCCATATTGGTTGAATTTCAAAGTCAGCAGGTCTCAGCCAAAATTCAACCAGTGTATGGCCAACTTTACACAAGGCTGAAGATTCTGTCCCCACCTCGACCTGACAGCACTGCAGGGGGCTGTCATGTGGGAGGAAGGAGAGAGGGTCACTGCTCCCCCATGCTGGATGTACCTTTATGCCACTTTCCTTCCTCAGGCACACACAATGGCAGCAGAGTGAAGGCGAGCATGCACAACTACAGGGGCAGCCAATGATATAAACCTGTTAATTTGCCCTTGATGTGCTAAGCACAGGTTTACTTTAAGCTTTACTATTAATATTGATAGTTCTGGTCAGAATTTGGCCTTCATTCACTGGCATTACCTGGCAGCTCTCTTGTGCTGGAGCTGTATTTGTAGTACAGGTTCTCCCCATTATCTGAGCCGCTGTGCTTCAGTGTCCGGATGGACAGCAGGTGGTCAGCCCACTGCTGAGCGGATCGGCAGAGCTCGCGGCTCAGCTGAAGAGGGGGTGCTCCGTGCTTCTTCCTGTAAGCATTGTGGGCAGACACAAATTCCCTCTCAAACTGGCTTCCTTCATCACCTGAAAAACACAAATCTGGAGTCATAAAGAAATCCTTACAAGAGGGAAACAATGGAGAGGGCGATTGCTGACATCTCCTGAAAATACTAGTTGCTTGACTGTCATGTTAATGTTTTCTGAGTCACTGATCCAAAACATGTATAGTGATAAGGAATTCTAAACACTCTCATATTCTGTGTATTTGTTTCAGGTCAGTGACTCGGAAGCAGTCTATATAATATTAATACAAATAGTAATGCACACAAAAGTGGATTTATTACCCATATAAAGCAATCAGAGTTCCTTTTTAATTATTCCATAAAATTAAGTCATGTGTGATTGCTAATAGTGATACTTCCAGTTTTCTTCTCCTTTTCTTCTCTCTCGTATAAACGAATCAGCCTCAGTGTTGTATACATTGAAATTCCCTTTAAAGTGCTCCTGTTATGTTAGAAATACGGGGCTGCCATTGCTGACCTGATTCTGAAAAAGCTAATTGTCTGCCTGTGCCAGACAGACCAATAACAAGTATGCAGAATATTAAAGTCTGTACCTGTTCCTAGATGCATTGCAATATTATATGGGATGTATCATATATTTATACATGGAAATGTACATAGATCCATCCCAGTGTTACAGTTTACTGTATAGAATGCATTCTATAATAAAGTAGAACAATTTTTGTTCTACTCTTCCCCCTCCTTTAGATCCATCCTACTTTTATACATGGAGATAAGTTTTCTTAGTTTTATACAGGATTCATCCTAATGCCATACATGGAAATAGGCCTAGATCCGTCCTATTTTTATACAGGGTTCATCTTAGGGTTATACATGCAAATGTACCTAGGTCCCCTTTTAGTTTTACATAGGAACCATCCTGTGTTATACAAGGAAATAAGCCTAGATCCATCCTAGTTTTATACAGGTTCCATCCCAGTGTCATAAATGGCGATAAACCTAGAAGCGTCTTAGTTGTATATGTTTAATCCTAGTGTCATTCATGGAAATAAGCCTGGATCCGTCTTAGTTTTATACAGGATTCATAATGCCATACATGGAAATAGGCCTAGATCCGTCTTATTTTTATACAGGGTTCATCTTAGTGTTATACATGGAAATGTACCTAGATCCCTCTTAGTTTTACATAGGAACCATCCCTTGTTATACATGGAAATGAGCCTAGATTCGGCCTAGTTTTATACAGCATCCATCCTAGTATCATACATTGAAATAAGCTTTGATCCCTCCTAGCTTTATACAAGTACCATCCTAGGGTCCCTGGGGATAAGCCTGGATCCCTTTTAGTTTTACATAGGAACCCTCCTAGTGCTCTACTTGGAAATGATCCTAGATCCTTCCTAGTTTTACACAGAAACCATCCTAGTGTTATATATGGGCATAAGCCTAGATAAAGCCTTGTCTTATAGAGGATCCATTCTAGTGTTATACATGGAAATAAGCCTAGATCCATCCTAGTTTTATCAAGGATCCATCCTAGTGTCATACATGGAGATAAGCTTAGATCTGTCCTTGAGATTTTTATACAGTGTTCATCCTAGTATTATAAATGGAAATGTACCTAGATCACAGAATCCATCCTAATGTTATACATGGAGGTAAGTCTAGATCCATTGTTTTTATACAGAATTCACATTTCCATGTCTGCAACAGAATTCTAGTGTCAGACATGGAAATGTACCTTGATCCTTCTTAATTTTTTTTACAGGATCCTTCCAAGTATCAGACATGGAAATGTACCTAGATCCATCCTAGTTTTATTCAGGACCCATCCTAGTGTCACACATGGAAATAAGCCTAGATCCGTCTTAGTTTTATACAGGTTTCATTCTAGTTTTATACATTAAATTGCACCTAGATCTGTTCTAATTTTGTACTGGATTTACATGGATATGAACAATGATTTGCTATACTTTCCAACGTGTAAAAGTGCCCTTATTTGTTCTGGTTATATACAAGAACATTCGTTTTAATCAAAAAATGTGCTGTGATTTGTTCTAGGGTCATAGATTTGCCTATATTTTGTTCAGAATAACTCTTGCAGAGTTTAGTTGTGTTCTTGGCTCTCAAAGCCCCTACTGAGGTAGAAGAAACATCAGTAACACCCTGCAATCTTTTTATGACTTCATGATCCAGATATGGTCTTTCCCCACTTCATTCCGATCCCCCGAGTCCCTGGCTGCCCATGAATCACCACATTGTACTGCATGGAATCCTATGACTGCTGGTAGGATACAGATTTTAACATGAAGAAGTCACGTAACTTCTTCCCCCATCCATACCAACATTTATTTCCATTATGAGACTGATACACAACATTAGTGAGCCTCATTAGACACTACCGGTCACCAAAACAAAACTGTTGCTGATAACAGGTCCAAGAAAAAACTCCACTTAGTTCCTATGCATATTTAGTAGACAATTTGAGGAACACATACTGTACTGTTCTCAATAGGGCTACCCTGCAGGGAGAAATCTGTGCTGAAATTCCCATATCAAACACACTTTCAGCTGGTGGCCCTTTTAAGCCCTAAAAATAACAGTCTACACAAAAATAGAAATAAAGTTTATAAAATCTGCGCTTATGGACAGTGGAAACATATGTCTAAATACCCAATGTTAAAGCAGCTGTACTCAGGACACTGAGGTCAAGAAATGTATATAGTAAATGTGCAGCGCTCAGGGTCACCAATCAATGGACTGTATCTATCTGGGTATTAAACAGTGAGCATTTAAAGCCCCTAATGAGTACACTGCCAGTTTAGTTATCCTGGTGGCAGCTCGTGAAATATAAGGTGCAGAATCTCTATTCAGCGCAAAAGTGCAGACAATCTATATGTATACACTCACAGTTTTAAAACGAAAAGATCGGCCGGTCACAGGCGGCGTGTAAATGGCCTGTACTTCCGTATAGTACGTGGTATTGAGATGTGTAGCCCCGCGTAAGTACAGGCCATTTACACGCCGCCTGTGACCGGCCGATCTTTTCGTTTTAAACTGTGAGTGTATATTACTTTTTTTAATAAATGTAAATTTGTTACTATACCATGAGGGGTTTCCTTTTTTCATTTTCGCTAATCACCGACCCATGGGACACCGCTGGGACTGCCGCTGAGACCGCATTTCTATTACCCAAAGTCAATCACAGTGTGGTGAGTGCGCACCCCAGAGGAGAGAGTGTTGTGAACACGAACACAGGGTGTGGAAAAAATGATTTTTTCAAACACCTTTTGGATTATTGTCATTATTTTAAAAAACTTTATACTTGGACACACTATATCACTAATTTGTGTTGCAAATTTTTGTTGTTGTTGCACTTCCTTATGGACTAATAAGATGGGATATTTTTGATGCACTTTATTCTTTATTCTTCATGACGTTTGATGTTATTTATCACAAGGCGTTTATATCCACATTAAAATTGTGTTAATTATTGTGGGATATATGCATTACCATATAGATTGTCTGCACTTTTGCACTGAATAGAGATTCTGCACCTTATATTTCGTGAGCTGCCACGAGGATAACTAAACTTTAAATGCTTTACTATGCTCACTTTAAATGCTCACTTTAAATGCTCACTATTTAATACCCAGATAGATACAGTCCATTGATTGGTGACCCTGAGCGCTGCACATTTACTATATACACAAAAATAGAGCCTGGTGGCTTAGCCAAGCCCTGGATTCTTATATGTCTTGGATAATCCAACAATGAGATCTCCCTACAATAATTCCTGATTCTATAGCTGTCCACTTGGTGGTTTTAGGTGTTCCTGACCACCTTTGTGTGTTCCAGCTCCTCCTTTTATATTATCCATAACCTAAAATAAATTTTAAAAATCCAGCAGGAAGTGTGTGGATCCCTCATAATGGACACAGCAGGCGTCCAGACCTGGGAACTTGCGCAGAGATCTCACCAAGAGTCCTCATGAGATAAAAAAAACAACTGCTGGGTGATTTAACTCTTCAGCATCTGCCTAAAACTCAATGTCAGCTTTGGCTGGACTGACACTTTAAAAGAACAATTTGCTTCTACAGCGTACAATACAAGCAGGTTTCTATGTCCTGTGTCTTGTGAATTTGGTCTGCGTCTCAAGAAGCAGTATTTGGGCATGTCATACTGATTTAACAGGTACGCTGAATACAGAATATACAATGCAGAAAGTTCTTAGCTATCTCCTAGTGTATATTTATTACAAAGTATAGGTCTGACACAGCCAGAATTCCAAACCTTGGAGTCAGGCGGAGGGAACTTACAGAACAAGTGATTTCACTGTCTGACTAATATACTACAGTTCATCTGCAGAACTTTCCAACTTTGTAGCCAGGAAATCAGTCTAGGTGAAGAAGCCAGATTTCTAGACTGGCCACATGGGGAAGGAGCTCCTAGGCTTTCCTACAGATCCACGTCACCCATTTGACATGGATCTCCTCCAAGCATTTGACCCAGTACCAGAACACCTAAGCCAGTATAAACGTACCCTGAACTATCTGATCACACCTAGCCCCTCCCAATTTAGTTCAAAGTTTCACCTATTCAACTATTGGAGTTCAGGACTAATGCTGACCATACACATGGCAATACTAGGGCAGTTTAACTGTTTTAAATACAAAAACAATTGAGTGGATCAGTGCAAACTATTGCCCACAGTTGAACCTGATAAGTGATAACTTTTGGCAGTGGGTTGGCTTGATCTGTTAGGATCTTTTTGCTTTTGAAAAATAGTAAAGAAAGCAGTTACAAATGTCAGCATAAAGGCCTAAATCACAACTATGCATTTTAATGCACACAGGCTAGCCATGGCTTGAAATGGTTCTAGTTCACATCTGGGTAATGTGTAAATGTGCGTTTTTTGATGCATTGCTGCACATATTAGGGTCTTTTGATGAAATTGCAGTGCATAAAAATGCATGATTGCTGATGAAGCATACAAATATTCACAGAAAGGAGTGAATTCAGCCTAAGCCTGCCCATAGAACAATTTTTCATTCTGTTTAAGAAACTTTCGGCATGCCTAATAAGATCACAGCAGTTTTCCCGACCATCTTATCTGCATCATATGCTTCTACTGCTACTTTAAATTCCTACTGTAGGAGCCATGGGTAGTAATCCGCTATTATGGTAGGCCTTGGCAACCTCTAGTACTAGTACTCCCACTAAATTTCTACCTTAGCCATGCCCATACTCTTAATGTAGACAACCAGTGCTGGGGCTAAAGTATATGTAATATCTTACATCATATCACAGAGCCAGTTTGGGGTAGGAAGGCTTTTAAAGAAAAGGAGCAAACAGACCTAATAAAATACCCAAAATTCCCAATCAATCAAAGTTCTTCCCAAGTTGGATCGTAACTTCTCCATGATCATTCTTGGCAAATCCTTCCCTTAGGGTCTACAAAACAGCAGCAGTGCCAAAGTTGGTACATTTACAACAAGTGCTATAGAAAACCCAGGTGTATCTCCATAACAGCTTAGGATGGTGTAACGCATAGGAGCACTTTGTTTAATTGCTATTGTTTCCAAACAGACAACCTAGAGTACAGACAAACTGCAAGATGTATGCTGTTCCTCCAGGAACACTTGAGTAAGCTGAACCTTCCTATTTATGGCTGCAGAGAGGGCAAAACATTGTAGGACCATGTCCTCATAAATGACCTTTGATGCCTACAACCTATTTTTGAAGAGAGGGTCAAACCTTTATATTCTGCACCTGTTAGCTTCCAGAAGATGCAAAAGACATAGTAGTGGTTGTGTCAGAGCTGATGCATGCCCCATACTACTCAATGGCCATTGACAGTCTCTCTTCAAAAGTCAAGGAATTTACTTGATTGGTCTAATTTTTGGCATCTAAAAACAACTTGTCTGGGAGCCATTAGGCCCTTTTTCTTTTTGTGCTCTAGGCCCCCTGCCTTAGTGGATGTAACACTAAGCCAAGATGCATTGCCTGATATTGCACAAGTGAAGAACACGCAACCAGTCATCTGTACAGCATATATAGCAAAATGCATTCCTGAACACTGCTATATATAGAGTAACCGTATAGTGCTCTCTATACCACTGAGTAACACATGCCAGACTGCTGTGTCACAGCCAAGATAGGAAATGGCTGTATTATCCTTTTTACACATGTCATCTCCAGTGTTCCAAACTAAAAAAGCCAGACAGGCCTTGCACTGTACAGACAGTCCCTCAGGGTCCAAAGCCTGAGCAATGCACTTAACATTTCACAGACATCAACAAACTGAGATATGTTAGTAGGCCCAGAGCCTTGTACCTCATAAGGTCTTCATCAGAATGTATTATGGATTGTATAGATATTCTTTGTGGACTAAAAATGCAATTTTAAACATATCTAAATTTAATCAGGTAACAATGAATTATTGCATATCCGGTATGCATTATTGTATGCATCTACTTTTTCAGCCAACAGGTGGAGCTTTATACTTCTTCTCTGATGCCTAGCATCTGAAAAGTTGTGTACAGCCCTCAATAGCTCAAACTTAAATATATTCACACACAGCAGAATGAGTCAGAGTAGTGACTTCTTCCCTTCCATCCTCCTTCCTGCCACCCCCCTTCCTATCCGGTATGCATTATTGTATGCATCTACTTTTTCAGCCAACAGGTGGAGCTTTATACCTCTTCTCTGATGCCTAGCATCTGAAAAGATGCGTACAGCCCTCAATAGCTCAAACTGAAAAAGTAGACAGCTCTGTCAAATTCAAATAGAGACAGAGGGTCTGAAAACAGCTACTACTTTGCTTTCTGTCACAAAACACATAGTGCTCTGGAATCCTGTGTCACCGATGCACATTTTAATAAATGTTTATTTGTAAAGAATTTATATAAAACCCCAGTTTAAAAATGTGATTAATGTAAAAAATACCCCATACTATTTGTAATTCTGATCAGCCAGTTTTGTGATAACACGTACACCTTCACCAGATACTAAGATCGATCTACTACATGCTTCTTTAATATCATCGCTTTCTTGGTCAGCTCTCTGCTAATTGGACAAAGAAGATCATGCTGATTCACTGTCCATTGGGCAGGTTGGGGGTGGCGAGGTGGCACAGTAAGATGAATTGCCAAACCAGGAAGATGAATTGCTTGATCAGGAAGTATATGTGTCCCCTGCCTAGTACAAACCACTAGACTGGCTGTATAGCAATACAAATGTTTGGCAAGCGAAGCAAAAAGCTTATGCATTTCAAATGGGCATTAGCGAATTGCTGGTGTTTACTTGTAAGAAGAGTGTGACAAATCCCAAAAGGCAGGTAGTCAATAAAGCTAAAAAAGGTCAGCTTTTAACTATTTAGTCACTGGAAGCTTGTGTCCGCCGGTCTATAAAGTGTCCGCCAGCTGCTGAATTCTGTATTAATTTATCCCCCTTCCCCAATGAGTGGAGTTTATGGTTCTGTTAAGTGGCAAACTGGAAAAACAGGCTGCGGTTTGTCATTCCACAAATGAAACTCTGTTAATAAGAATGAACGCGGTCAGCTCGATGCATTAACAGTACATGTAAATTGTTTGTGCTGAACATTTTAAACACTTTCCCTGCCAATAACAGTCATCGGAATCTTCTCGTATAAATCCTCATGCCATCATTTCCGAGGTGACGATGGACAAGGAAGCATCTGGACGCAGGGCTTCCTATCACTCTTAAACGGTGCTACCTGCTACCAATTTTTCCCTATTGGTCAATATTTCAGGATGGCTGTTTCAAAATCTTTGCAGCAAACTTTGATGCCAGCCCCATCCAAAAAAAACCCAAACCATTTTAAACAGAGATACTGGAGTCACTGCACCTGTCCAAAGGTTTGTAAAGGGACCCATATATGGAATTTACACAGAGCTGCTGTTTTGTGGTTCAGTTTGATGGGAACTGCAGTGGCCGTACTAAGCAGTTCAGTGGAAGTTGGGGTTGCCACTCATCCGGAATTCACTCGGGCAGTCCAGGTTTGGAATCCTGTGCCCGGGTATCAGCCCGCCTCACACCCGGGCACATTATTCAAACCGGACTTGTGGCTCCCTAAGAAAAAGCCGCATACCGATGAGCGCCGGTGCTGTCACTTTACTTGTCAGGCCGTAGCAGCTCTCGCTAAACCTAGTCCCTCCCTCTGTTTCTCTTCTCCGCAGCCCTGCTGAACACTGGGAGGAAGTGACATCAGACAGAGGGAGAAACCATCCTCCGGCTCCACCACGGGCTGTATGGCTTGTCTGGGACCAATTTGCCGGCACCGCCACAGTCTCACTCTCCACTAACCGGTATACATTATATATGAATTGAAAAGGGGGGTTATTATTGCACAAAAAAGATGCCCCCATAAAAAATGCCACAGGTAACCTGTGACATCTTTTGTGAGGGCATCTTTTATGTGCAATAGCACATACCTGGGGACCTGTGGCACACTGGCATCTTATGGGGGCATTGTTTATGTGCAGAATGCATATCTGGGGACCTGTGGCACACTGGCATCTTATGGGGGTATCTTTTATGTACAGAATGCATATCTGCGGAGCTGTGGAACACTGGCTAGTTGTGATTAACTCATTATGATTTGTGATTAACGCCAATGTTATTTAATCACAAAATACATGCATAGTGTACACTTTACAAAAAAATTGCCGTGAGGCGCTATAGTGTTTGGGTTTGGCTTGAAGAAAAGGTGGCAACCCTAGTGGCAGCACAGGTAATAGCAGAGATCCCACGTGTCCCTTGTCACTGAATAGCAAAACAAATGGCAAACGCACTCATCAATTTGTTACCAGATTTACAGCAAGGTGCACATGGAAGGGCTTTTTACAGTAACAGCAAAACGTTTCCCAGCACACTCACCAGCCAGCATGCAAAAAAGACTCTCCAAGTTTAGAGTTAGGACCGCACTATAT